GCATTATACCCCCCCAAGTCTAATAGAAACTTGTTAAGTTTCAAGGATATCCGAAGAAATGGATATCATATTGAGACTATGTGTAAAGATGGCTTTGAATTTCTTTGCATTAAGTCCGACGGGAAGCATATATTAGAAGAGTTAAAAATGTTATCCTCTGGACTATATTGTACAAGAATACACATGACTGAGTCCTATGCCGTGGTAAACATGAAATTTACTGATACATTTAAAATCTGGCATGAGAGGCTAGGACATCCTGGTTCAGTCATGATGAGAAAAATAGTGCAAAATTCAAATGGCCATCCGTTGAAAAACGGAAGAATTTTGCAGACGGGCGAATTTACATGTAAAGCATGTTCGCAAGGAAAATTTATTACTCGGCCATCACCAGTAAAAGTAGGCAATGAATCACCAATGTTTTTAGAAAGAATACATGGTGATATATGTGGGCCGATCCACCCACCGTGCGGACCGTTTAAATATTTCATGGAATTGATTGACGCATCTAGTAGATGGTCAAATGTGTGTCTTTTGACGACACGAAATACGGCTTTCGCAAACTTCATTGCCCAAATAATAAGGCTGAGAACACAGTTCTCAGGATATGCCATTAAGAAAGTAAGGCTTGATAATGCTGGTGAGTTTACATCGCAAGCCTTTAAAGATTATTGTATGTCAGTGGTGATTGATGTGGAACATCCAGTGCCCCATGTTCATACACAGAATGGCATGGCCGAGTCATTAATAAAAAGGTTGCAGTTGATTGCAAGGCCGTTGATCTTGAGGAGAAAGCTCTCAATTTCAGTATGGGGTCATGCTATTTTGCATGCGGATGCACTAATTTGGTTAAGACCGAGTGCATATCATAAGTACTCCCCATTACAATTGGCGTCTGGGCATGAGCCAGATGTATCTCATCTCCGTGTCTTTGGGTGTGCGGTCTATGTACCGATAGCTCCGCCACAAAGGACAAAAATGGGCTCACAGAGGAGATTGAGAGTATATGTGGGTTATGTGTCACCAAGTATAATAAGATATCTGGAACCAGTAACTGGTGATATGTTTACGGCACGATTTACCGATTGTCATTTTAATGAAGAAGAATTTCCAGCGTTAAGGGGAGAAATTAGAGAAATTCTTAAAGAGATTACTTGGTGTACACACACGTTGTTACACCTTGATCCCCCTACAAATCAAAGAGAGCTGGATGTTCAGAAAATTGTGCATTTGCATAATTTGGCAAACCAGTTACCAGATGCGTTCACAGATACGAGAAGGGTGACAAAATCATATATACCCGCTGAAAATGTCCCATCAAAAGTTGTTGTTCCTAAAGAACACACTGATAGAGATACAATGAATGAGCCTAGGGCTCAGTTAAAGAGGGGGAGACCTGTGGGTTCTAAAGATAAAAATCCCCGAAAGAAAAAGAAATTGATTGAGCAAAAAGAGAAGGTTCTAGAAAAACCTGATACTGAAAAATGTCTGAAAGAAGGCATAAATGAAAAGGTTCAAGAAGAACCAAATAAAGATAAGGATCCAGATGACGAGGAGGGAACAGAGAGGTATGAGATTTCTATCAACTACCCCCAAGATGAAAAGTTATGGATCAGAAATAAAATAAAAGATGTTGATGGAATGTTCTCATTTTCTGTGTCCAAAGAAATAGATCACGAAAGTGATGATCCTGATCCAAGGTCCATTTTAGAATGTATGAAAAGACATGATTGGGAGGAGTGGAAGAAGGCCATTGAAATTGAATTACTCTCCCTAAATAAAAGAAATGTCTTTGGACCTATAGTCATAACGCTTGAGAATGTAAATCCTATTGGGTATAAGTGGGTATTCGTGAGAAAAGTAAATGAAAAGAATGAAGTAACACGATATAAAGCCCGATTAGTAGCCCAAGGTTTTTCACCATGAGCATACCAAGACACATGAGTTCCCCACCGCGCCTGACGTTCTTGGGCTTTCAGAAACGAAGAACTCTAACCAAAAGGTCGGAAGAGCACCGGCCAGACACAAGATCGGAAATACACACTCTCGAGTTAGCCATTTGAAGGATACTGAGTACATGAGAAGAGAGATATGAAGATGGTTTCCATATGAGGTAAGGATAGCTTTTTATATTCGCATAGACACCACCTCTCAGAAGATTAGAACACAATTAAGTTGAATTCGTAGCTGAAGGAGAATAACATAATAATTTCGATGGATCCGTAATTGGTGCAGTGTCGACTTGACAGAACGGATTCCAAAGGGCGCGATGGGATACCAGCGAGGGGAAGAGCTGAATCGGCACGCCGTCTGAAGAAAAACAATCACCGTAATAAACGCTGGGAACGAGTCTATCGTCGCCATAATTCTGAAATGAAGACGGCTTGAAAGGGATCGACGTGCTCCTTAACGGGCTAAGAAATTTAACAAAAAAAAGGCTATAAAATTAGACAAAGGCCCAAACAACTAAACATATGCACATTAAACACAGAGTTTTGGTCGCCTATGCCATGTGGCGTCTCCACAGTCTCTGAATTGATGACGTGGCTCTCCCTAGAGGGAGAGAAGTCTTTTTTTTTTTATAGTATTAGGTATGTATAGGTATACTCGTATACTCCCAAAAGATCGAAGTATCCGCTCCAGACTCGATATTTTTGAAACTTTCTTATACAACATGGCACAAACCATTGAAAAACCCGACCATCACCGTGACATCCTATGCCCGCGAACAATCTTATCGCAAGACGTGGCAACGAAAATAAATAAAACTCAATCTTCAACATAGCGAGATGTTGCCAGTGCTCAAAGAAACGTGTTTTAGTTATTCCGGAAAATCTATAGGCTTCACGGCTTGCCCTTGTCCCTTGTTTCTGATCGTGACTCTCATTTCCTTGGTCACTTTTGGCATTCTTTGTGGAAACTCTTGGGTACTACACTTGATGTGAGCTCTGCTTATCACCCTCAAACTAATGGACAAACGGAGGTAGTGAATCGTTCTCTCGGCAATCTTTTACGGTGTCTTGTTGGTGATGCTACAAAGAGCTGGGATTCAAAATTACCTCAGGCGGAGTTTGCGCATAACCACGCTAGCAACCAAAGCACAGGGTTCTGTCCATTCCAGGACGTCTATGGTGTAATTCCGCGTGCTCTTGTGGCGCTCTCTACCTTACCAGATCGTACACGTTCACATGGCGATGCAGCAGCTCTGGTTGAAACCATTGCAGAGGTTCATTATGCTACGCATGCTCATTTAAAAGATTCTTCGACAAAGTAAACTGCAGACAAACATCGCAGGCGCGTGGTTTTTGATGTTGGTGATCTCGTCAGAGTTTATCTTTCTCGTGATCGACTTCCGGCCCATGCTTATAACAAGTTAAAATTAAAGAAAATCGTGCCTCTTGAAGTTCTGGAACACATCAATGACAACACTTATCTACTCTGTCTTCCCGCCGGTATCAACACTTCAGATGTTTTCAACGTCAAGTACCTCTCTCGTTATATTTCTGAGGCTACACTTCTGATTCGCAGTCAAATCCTTTTCACCCGGGGTCTTGATGCAGCAGCATCCTTGATTGTGGCGCCAACCTGAAGATGAAGAAGAGATTCAAATCATATGGCTTTTAGGATTTGGCTTTCTAATTTTATTATGTTTAGATAATTATGTTTTATTTCCTTATTTCTTTAGTCTTTAATTCCTTCTCCTACAAGGATTGTCATAAGGAATCCGCTATATAAACATCGCGACACATTACGTTTTGATCACGTTTGAATTTAGTTTTGATTTAATAAGAAGAGCTTTGCATTTTATACCTTGTTCGATTCGATTCAATTCATCTAACAGGAAGTTGGTCTCAAGAAGCTATCAAAAGAAACTCTTGATCGATCCAAGAACTGGTCTCGAAGAACCCTAAATTCTTAGATCGACCATTCATCCATTCGTACGTTGCATCAGCAGAGATTGAAGGGACTTTGTGGGAGGAAGCGCAACTAAAAGCCTCTACAACAAAGAGTGAAATTCTCTTTTCAAATGGGATTTTTTATTTTAGCGACATGAAGTGGTGTTTTGTCGATGGGTCCTGGAAAAAGAAGTCGAAATAGATAGGACAAGGATGGTCTACAGGAAAGATGGAGCAACTGAACGAATCAATGATGGGAACCATGAATATCCGTATAAGCCTATCACCTTTACATGCGGAGTGTGAACCGCTGATTTGAGTGATAGAATGCATGAAGACCCTAAAGATCTCAATAGTGGGGTTTGCAACAGACTGTTCTCAACTGGTGAAGATGGTGTCTACACTAACAGAATGGCCGACTTTCACTACGCATATGGAGGAATTTCTACGTTGTAAGCATTTCTTCCCTACCTTTACAATCCGATAAATTCCAAAGGCAAAAAATATAATGGCGGACAAGTTATCACGAAGTGTTAGAAGTGTATAATCAGCTATGGTTTATGTCGATTCCATTCTACCGGCTTGGCTAGCAGAAATGAATTTTTCTTAGTGTAGAATAGCCTATTATATTGAAAAAGAAAATTACTAGTATTCAAATACTATCAGAAAATAAAAAAAAACAAACAGTTTTTTTTTTATCAAAAAAAAACGAACAGTTTAACATCTAAAAGTTACATCTAGATGCAAATTTATTATAAAAACAAACAACATACATTTTGAATGCAATATCGATGTTGTATTCAGATGATACATATAGGTGTTGCATCAAATACAAAAACGAACATGCCTCAATACAAACAACCAAACCATCGAATTGTATCATTATCAATCAATGAAAGTAGTGATGGTTGTACTAATGATAGACATGAAACAACCATCACAGAGGACAACGCTGATTACAGAAACATGAATACCTTAGAAGGGTCAAAATCATAGGATACAAGGCATATGAAGATTATATATAATCCACCACAATTATAACACTAATTCTTGTAATTATTTGGATACTAAATTTGCGACATAACGTAACGGCATGACATCAGATCAAGAACCACAAGAGCTCTGTCCACAGCCGTAGGAACCGGAGGTGGTTGCAGTAGTGTCGCCACTCTTGGCCGCCTCGAAGTTTTTTGCGAAATCGACCGCTAAATCGGTGTAAATCTTCATAACTCTCGAGATATTACCGTTGATTTCGTTAATCAAGCCAACGTTCCTGGAGACGTTCTCTGGGATTCGGGAGAGATGGTTGTCGTTGACGCGTTGGAGCAAGTCACGGTTCTGGTCGAGAACGAGTTGCGCACGCTTGAAGCCATTACTCAGCGTATTCCACACCTCCACGTCGTTGAACTCCTCATTCGCCGCCTTAACACGGTCGTCGTCTTTGTTCATCTCCGTCAGAGCTCGTTTGCTGCCCTTTCGGTTGTTTCCCACGAGCGATCGACGTCTTGGTGCTTCCATTATTTAGAAAATCAGAGCCCTCACGGCTGATCAATCTTAGAGATACATCAGAGTTCATTCACCGTTGACGCGACGAACCATTGTTTGTATACAGTATTTGCCTTCTGGAAGAGCCTACTCAAAATTGTGTTTGTTCGGGTCATACTCGAAATTGTGGTTTGTTCGGGTCATGAAGATGAACGTGACATTACTCCGTGAAGGACCAATGCGTGTGTCTAAAAGAGGGGCCTGTTGGACGAATCTGATTGGATTGTGGCATAGAAAGGTGACAGTAGCTCAAGGAAATGTAGAAGAATCGTCAAAAGAATACATTTCCGGATAATAATAAATATCAAACAGAGGTCTATTATTTAAAACAAACAAAAAGTGAAAAACCTCGGACCAAATATCTGACCTTTTCCATATCTTCCGTTAATTTTTTTTTTTTTTTTAACTTTTAGTATATAAATTCGGTGATAACCCGCGCCTTGCACAGAGTGATTGAATCAAAAAATTTATGACCTAATATATACATATATATATATATATATATATCAGAAATATGATAATAAACAATCTAAGATACAATGAAATGTCTTACTATTATGTGTAGGTTTATATAATGTAAATTTTTTTTATGAAAAAAGGTCGTGTTATTGGATAGATTACTTAAAGTCTATTATATGCAAAAAAGGAATATAAGATTAAGAAAAGACTTGTTTAAATACTAATAATAAATTAATAAGTAATATAAAATGATAGTATAACTATTTAATTCATACTAAAATTATGATGATAATAATTTTAAAAACATAAGTAATAGAAAAATAAAACATGATATAATGAGAAAATTGTCTTCAAAACTTCTGATTTGCACTCCTATATAGAAAAATAACAACTAATAAGTTAACCAAACAACACACACTCTTTTACAATTTAAACTAATTGAAATGATATAATTCTTTCTGAACGCATCGAGTTCTGGAATATTATCAGGTTCCAAAATGATTTTTTGAAAACCCATCAATGTTCGAGATATTCTTGAATTTTGTTTATTCCACTCATATTCGATGATGAACAGTGAAATGTTTAGGTTGTGATGATATTAAGTGATTATCAAGAAGATATATATAGTATTCTTGAGAAAAGGGTTTAGCCTCATTAAAGAGAGTTAACGGCGTGTATGAATTATAGCAAAGTATATCAATTAACACATTTTTTCATAATATGTTTTGGTCAAGCAAATCAATCTTTGCTTGAATTGTTTAATCAAATATATTTACCTGATTACGAATATTTAAAGCACATCGCACGAAAGGAGAGGGTTTGAAGTGGTCATATGAAAATCTGCAATTAATTATCTGTTTTTAATCAATCAACCATAATGTACTATAAATGGTTTGATATGGGCTTCCTAAAATAAAATATTCTAGACATATTAAATGATTAATCACAATTAAAAAGGCTTACCATATTTGTAATTACATTATACCAAACCAAGATTCTTCTGAACAAGTCATATTTAAACCATTTATCTGATTTTTATCTCTTTGAAATATCAAGGCAAGACATATTAAACATGTTATACGAAATCAAGAATCCGTAGCACAAGTCATATTTATAAATTAGTTATATTAAACATGTTATATCACTCTTCTATTTTATAATTTGTTTTACATTCGAAATACCTGAAAACAATTTCCATAATAATTTAAAAGCTTTCGTATGGTTCATATAAAACTTTCGACAAATGGCCGAAGTATGGCATTTGACATCGAATATTATTTATGTGTTTACATTAAATGTTATTCATGTTTGAGATTGTATATTTGGAATGATTAAGCTAAATAATTAAGGAATCAATTTTTGATCTTGGTTTCCTTATATTTTGAAAACATTAAAAGCCAACTTAACTCAAGGTGTACATATGAAATACAGTTTTGAATCAGTTCATAATCTCGTTTTGGGGGGATATGATCTCTTAATCTTTAAGCAAATAAGGATATACATAATATACATAATCCTTATAATATATACTCATTTCCTAATCACTGTTGGATTTGCTTGGTTATCATAGCCACCAAGACATATCAAAAATATCAACAATATATAATTGTTTGTCGAATATTCAGGAAAACTTGTTAATCCAGAATGGTTTCATATATACTCATTTCATAAACATTACAATATACTCATTTCATAATCATTACCAATATAACTTCAACCAATTTTTAGTTGCATGTATGATTATATGATATACGTATAATGTCATTTTGTGTAAGTTACATGTCCAAATAATTGTGACACGGGTTGTAGGTTCCAGAAATATATTTGCAGGTTGGTTGGTTATGGTTTACTAACCATGGGACTAAAAAGTATAATATAGATTACTAATGTATGCATGCTTATAGGAAATGTATAATGACAATTTTTTTATAATTATTCTAGTAATGAGAGACCATTTTGATAAAGCTTCTGAGAGGGATGTGGTGATGCCACGTAAGTAATGACAGTTTCGTTAATCACACATTGCAATATTTCTGGAACTATACTATTAAAGCAGAATCTTTATTAGGATTCTGCCTTTAGTTTTCAAAGATATTTACGAGATTATGCCACTGTTTTTTCTTTACTTTAATAAAATAAATATATAAAGAAATATTACTAACAAAAAAAATCAAACGAATTCCTATCTTACCAGATTAATATAAACCGTGCCGTTATAAACATTCTAATATTTTCGATGACTTCTAGGCGTGGTTGACAATGTCTTATCAACAATCACAAGCCAATGGAACCACACACAAAACAAAACCTGCAGAAACAAAATTTACTTTTGTTTATGCTAATGTGTAGATCGAAGATACTAATGAAAATAGAATCATTGTTCTATCAAGAGAATCATCATTTATCTTTCTTCGTCGGTTAACAACATGCAAGTTTATATGTGTGGAACCCTTTAACCTAAACCCTTTTTTCACGAAACCCAAAACAGTATTTGTAACAATTTGTATACATTACTAAATACGTAACCAGAAAAAATTATGATGCACTTGAATTCACACCTAAATGTGTTTAGTTATTATATAAATATCTACTCTATTAAAATAGAGTCATTCTTTTTATCTACGGATACAAGTTGTCATTTAAATTTGAACCCTTTCTAGAATGTTACAAATAATATAAGTGATATGATTGATTGAACCGTATTACTTAAATTAAACCAAAACAATTAATGTAAAGAGACGACCTTAATGTAAACTACCTTCAAAATACGGCAGGTATCTATGTGTATACCGAAAACACATATTTTCTCCTACAAATAAGGAATGTTCTAAAAGAATATATATCCTCAAAATATAGAATATGGAAATCTACTAATTATACTTAAATTAAACCAGTAGTTATTTATGGAATATAGTGTAGGGCTTACTTTTATTTTTTTAACAAATTATATAGGTTGGTTTTTAGGCTTAGTATTAAGAAAAAAACTCCAAAAATTTGAATAAACTTTTCAAAAGATCAAAAAAATCAATTATTATTTTCAGACCCAAAAGGTATTTAATATTTTTAACAAAACAAAATAATCTATTATTAATCATTTATTTAAATCATGTACTTTAAAACATGTTAATATATTTTTTACTTTAAATAACAATCACTTTGTTTTGATAAATATCAATGGTAACTTTTAAATAATTTATTGTTTTATTTTTTAAAAATAATTTACTGATTAAAAAAATGTAAAGCAAAACCAAAAACCAAATCTAAAAACTAAAATCCAAAACCAAAAGCTGAAAACACATGTTATAATTGTTTGCTTTGTTTATTTACAATATAAACTATTTCAAATTTTTTTTTAAAAAAATTGTTATCATCTTTTCAGTTTTAAATTAGATATTCGATTATTTGAGATTTGTTTGTTGGTAATATTAGATCAATCTAACTCAGCAGGTTTAAAAATTAAAAACCCAAACTAAAAACTGAAAATGAAAAGTAGAAACTTAAAAACAAAAAGCCAAAAACCAAAATCTAAAAATAAAAACTAAAACTAAAAACTAATAAAAAACAATCATCACCACAAATTTTGGTGAACTGATTTTATATCAAAATATTCTTTAATCATAAAAAATTTCCGCGCTTGAATCTTTTTATCTACTGATACAAGTTGTCATTTAAATTTAGACCCTTTCTAGAATGTTACAAATAATATAAGTGATATGATTGATTGAACCGTATTACTTAAATTAAACCAAAACAATTAATGTAAAGAGACGACCTTAATGTAAACTACCTTCAAAATACGGCAGGTATCTATGTGTATACCGAAAACACATATTTTCTCCTACAAATATGGAATGGTCTAAAAGAATATATATCCTCAAAATATAGAATATGGAAATCTACTAATTATACTTAAATTAAACCAGTAGTTATTTATGGAATATAGTCTAGGGCTTACTTTTATTTTCTGAACAAATTATATAGGTTGGTTTTTAGGCTTAGTATTAAGAAAAAAACTCCAAAAAATTGAATAAACTTTTCAAAAGATCAAAAAAATCAATTATTATTTTCAGACCCAAAAGGTATTTAATATTTTTAACAAAACAAAATTATCTATTATTAATCATTTATTTAAATCATGTACTTTAAAACATGTTAATATATTTTTTATTTTAAATAACAATCACTTTGTTTTGATAAATTTCAATGGTAACTTTTAAATAATTTATTGTTTTATTTTTTTAAAATAATTTACTGATTAAAAAAATGTAAAGTAAAACCAAAAACCAAATCTAAAAACTAAAATCCAAACCAAAAGCTGAAAACACATGTTATATTTGTTTGCTTTGTTTATTTACAATATAAACTATTTCAAATTTTTTTTTTTAAAAAAATTGTTATCATCTTTTCAGTTTTAAATTAGATATTCGATTATTTGAGATTTATTTGTTGGTAATATTAGTTCAATCTAACTCAGCAGGTTTAAAAATTAAAAACCCAAACTAAAAACTGAAAAT